ATAGCGAACGCATGAAGGAGGAGGCCTGTTCCCTGAGGCGCAGGGTAGACAAGAATCGGAAGATCCAAAGTGGATGACTCAGCTGCTCTTTACGCATTTCCTTTTTCTCACCTCTAGGATGCTATTCTCAATGGTTGTGTATTTAGGGAAGTTGCAGGAACTGAACGAAACTTCAGACTCCCAAGAATCCGGATTTTACCAGTTACTTCGAAAGGTGAGTATTTTCTTCTTGGCATTTAGAAAATACTTACCTTTCAAATGTCACGTTTGCGTTTTCCCTGGTTTTTAAACTTTATAGTCGTCGTCTAGACAACACAAATTCTTACCGTCACGATTTTGCTTTGATGCGAAAGGCATTCAAATTGCTACAATCGTCTCCTACTTAGAGCTTACTTGCTAACGAGTTGTTGTTAGCTTCTGCTTCACTAAATTATCGGCCTGTTTCGCAGTTAATGTCAATTCCAACATCAGTTCAAGAGACGTCTCTTCCATGTGTAATCAAATCTTGCCGACAATTCGCCCCTCCTAGCTTCGTCCGAACCGCTTAAATTGTACATGCCTCCCGACTCACCATGATAGTAACGGCAAATACTTTCTTAAACAGTGTGTGTATTTTCCGACTTTCCCAGCAAGCGCATCGTGAGCACTCTCGCCGTTACCGAAATACCCATCAGAGGTTCTTCACCCATCCAGTCCATCTGTAAGTTCTCCTTTTCATATATAGCTATAAACTTGATAGCAAGCGTCACCTAACTGCTGAGGAAATGTGTTTTCGGGGCTCGAAAAGTCGCCCTTAACGATGTTGTCAATCAGTTGCCCTCTTTTCTGGTTTTCGTAACCCTAGATTAGGCGCCTGATCTTATATTGAGTTCCCAGTTTGCGGTTATTTTGACATTTCTGAATACAAAACACAAATTGTAGTAAACCGTGTGCCAGTAATGTGCCTAACGTTGTCCTCCACTCTAACAAATCTATATGTAGTACCTTGATCTTAGCACTACCTTACAACCCTCTAATTAACAGCGAAAGACAACTCGAGTAGAGGGGAAAAGAGGCGAGAGCGGACACGACCGGTTTATTGATGCCAAAACAATCAAGTGGCTTTGTGTGCGTATGAGTACGCGTGCGTGACAGGCGAATGCTGACAGAGGCCAATAACAAAAAAGGATGAGTCATTGGTACATACGGGCCCTCATGCACGCACACTCACGCGGGGTGGCTGTCTGTCCACTGCAGATCTACTTCTGTCTAGATGTCTTCGAAAAATATCCATTCCTCTGGTTGTGGTAACCGAAACACCGGTCCTACTCGCGTGACGACACGCGCACTTTTAATTTTAGGGACAAATGTAATTTTGCTGTGCTATTGGCGCTGTGCGCGCCATGAGTAATTAAGTACAGGGGTACCATTAGAGGTGCTCTAAGTTGGTCATCTTTCCGACTTCCAGTGCTTGCATGGTGTTCCACGCATGGTCAGTAGTGCTGGGTGATCAATAGTGTCGCACAGGGTCAGTTGATTTAATCGATTGTCTACCTGCAGTTGAAGAAAACGCCCAAGACCCCTATGCAGACGGTTTGGCATTCACCGACCTCAGTCAGGTCTCCTCCACCTTGTCCTCCTTCTCTCCTCCACATCCACCACCACCCAGCCCTCCGCGCGTCCAAACGCAAAACTCGAAGCCACTTTTGGCCCGTGGCCGCCGTCGGACGGATGTGCCAACGTCAAACGTCTCAGCACCACCCGTTCCACCCGGCCTTAATCCAGCCTTTTCCCCACACATGCCGCGTATGCTTTTTTGGCCATTAGCGGAAAGGTTTCTTTGTGTCTCACTACGCTAGTGTACTTTGGAGATTGTTTCTAGGCAACAGCTTTAGACTGACTGGAGTCGACAGCAGAGGTGTTCTGTTTCCATCGTGGCCAATCATCCCATTTACCGTTCAAATGATTGACAAAACCAGAACCTGAGCCATTAGGTTCTTCGCCATCAAGTTCATCCACTTTGTAGCTAAGGAGATTTGAAATATATATCCTTTGTTTAGTTTTTAGTTGTTCAACAGCCAATCGTCCTGCACTGTCACATCGAAAGCCGTTGGTTTTCTCCGCTCATCCACCACAAGCCAC